GGAGGAGATAGTCAATCTGGGTCTTCGCCACCACATTTTGAAAAGTAACCAAATGCCCCTCCCTCTTCCGAAATCTAGAATTCGCAATCACCAACCCAAAAGCCTTAGCGAAGTCCAACAACGATGTACCTCCTCCGTTCCTCTCCCCAAAATCGAAGTCTCCATGCACCTCGCCATAACCACCTGCGGTCGACCCAATATGCCCATTGAAATCCCCTCCTATAAATAACTTCTCAGCAGGCGGAACCTGGCGCACTTTTCATCTAACTCTCACTAAGTTTTGTGAGTGCAAAATTCAGGACAACAAAATAACCGAAAAAATGGAGCAGACCTTCATCATGATCAAGCCTGATGGTGTCCAACGTGGCCTGGTTTGCTTCGATTCGATTTCGTTTAATTTTGTTTTTATGTTTGTTGAGCTACAGTTTCGTTATTCCTAATTTTTGGATCAATGTTTTGATGTTTTGTTTCAGTTTGGTGAGATTATTGAAAGATTCGAGAAAAAAGGTTTCTCTTTGAAAGGTAATTTTTCCTCTACTGGCTTCACATTTCCCCAATTGTGATTAATAGAAGGTTAGTTTGGTAGATAGATTTAACAATAAGGGCTTTAGTGTAATATTCTTAGTGTAATACACAACTCAAATAAGGTAAGAAAAAAGATCTTTATATATATATATATATATATATATATATATATGTTCACTAATGGTCATTGAATTATCTTCCAATTTCATTAAAGTCATTCAACTATATTTTGTCACTTAAAAGTAACTAAATTTTAGCATTGTAACTTAAAAATTATTTTGCCTCAACCCCCTATCATAAATATGACATGACATAAAATTTAATAAGAAAAATCCAAAAATAAATGCCACATAAGTTTAAATGGGTCATACCCACTTTAGATCCATATCTTCCTTAATATGATTTGACTCAAAACCCAAATGGGTTTCAATAGATAAAAAAACGCCTCTTGCCGGTGTCAACCACATCCCTCTTTAGATAATGCACATTCATAATTATTCTACATTAGTTTAAAATAATTATCCTATACTACAAAGTTTTTGCCTTTTCTATTACATAATGCACATTCATATTTATTCAATACTAAAATAATTTATGCTAAAAAATTCTTATTTTGTTTGTATGCCCTATCCGAGTAATTTTATAACTCTACTGCAGCTAAAATACTACTGTATCCAACTCACATAACATATTTATAATTTTTTAGTGAAGTTAAAATACTATTGTGTCTATCTCGCATAACATATAAATGTATCATAAGCAGACAAGAATAATAAGACTAATAAGAATCTATTTTCACAAACTACCATTCAATTAATTTCAAAATGTTGCTTATTAAGCAACACTAGCATACAAATAAACTACTTAGTAAGCAACACATGCAATTAAAGTGCATAATAAAAAAGGGAGATTTTTATAATTACCTATGGATTCTAAAATATTCCATAATCTACAACTTGTAATAGAATAACATATTCTACAACAAATGTATAAAACATATACTCTAAAAAAGGTAAATTTTCTAATAAAGGAGAATTCTATTTTGAAACATATCCCATAATTAGCTCATAAAAATTCTTCAATTTATTAATTATTGATTAGTACTATAAATACATTAGGTTACCTTATAACACTATCTCTTACACACTACATCCTCCATAAAAATAGGGACTTCATAAAGATAGTTGCATAATTCGGATGATAATATTTCCATTCTTTCATCCTTATCATCTATATAGTATTAATAATACAAATACTATATGTTAGTATACAATATATATATATATATATAGAGAGAGAGAGAGAGAGAGAGAGAGAGAGAGAGAGATGACCCAAAAGGTCATCTTATATTTTAGAACTCGAATCTGCGCTCTTAAGCCTAAAAAATATTATTTTTACCCTCCTCAATTTACGTGCGCAGTCCGGGCAGGTTTTCGGAAAGCTTTTATGTTAAAAACTAATGAAAATAAGAATTTTGCCTTAAAAGTTAATTTTTATTGACTTCGGTCAATATTTTAGGTAAACGGGCCCGGATCCGTACTTTGACGGTCCCGGTAGGTCCGTATCGAATTATGGGACCTGGGCGTACGTCCGGAATTGAATTCTGAGGTCCTTGGCTTGAGTTATGAATTTTTGATGAAAATTAAAAGTCTGAAAATTATTTATTTTTAAGAATTTATTGATATTTGGCATGGTTAGTATCGGGTCCGTATTTTAGTTCCGGAGCTCGGTACAGGTTCATTATGATATTTAAGACTTGTTTGTGAAATTTGGTGAGAAACGGAGTTGATTTGACGTGATTCAGACGTTCAATTGAGAAGATATGAATTTTGAAGTGTTCTTGAGAATTTCATTTGATTTGGTACAAAATTCGTAGTTTTAGGTGTTATTTGGCGATTTGATCGCGCGAGCAAGTTCGTATGATATTTTTAGACTTGTGTGCATGTTTGGTTTGGAGCCCCGAGGGCTCGAGTGAGTTTCGGATAGGCCACGGGATGTTTTGAACTTAGAAAATATTGCTGGTATAACTGAACCTGTTGCAGGCCTCTGATATCGCAATTGCGAGATCGGGCTTCGCAAATGCAAAATAAGCAGGCCTGGAAATTGCGAGGTATCTATCGCAATTGCGAAGAAGGCCTGGGCCAGCATGTTCTCGCAATTACAAGATTTTCTTTGCAATTGCGATGGGAGTTTGGGAAGGGCAGGTTCGCAAATACGAACATCTACTCGCATTTGCGAGGTTCAGTGGTCGCAAATGCGACACTTTCCTCGCATTTGCAAAGGCAGCGGGATTGTGAAGGGCATCGCAATTGCGATTGTTCCTTCGCATTTGCGAGTTTCGTATTTGCGAAGCTCAGTTCGCAATTGCGACACCTACAGCTGAGTAAAAGGGACTTAGACGGGATTTTTCATTCATTCTTCATATTTTCGAAACCCTAAACCTTAAGAGGCGAATTTCCAAAGACCAAATCTTTCCTAAATCATAGATAAGTGATTCCTAACTCTTTTCTTTCAATCTTTTACATCTTATAACAAGATTCCAACCTAGAATCTAGAATTTTTATGGTGAAATTAGTATTTTTTGGTAGAAGTTAGGAATTTCGAAATTTGAGGATTTAGACCTCAATTTGAGGTCGGATTTTAAAATTAATTAAATATTTGGGCTCGGAGGTAAAAGAATTTTGGTCCGAACCTCGAATTTTGACCAAGCGGGCCCGGGGTCGATTTTTTAATTTTTTTTGGAGAAAATTTGAGAAAATTTAACTTACGCAATATAATTAATTCCTTTAGCTATATTTGATATTATTGAGTCATTTTTGAATAGATACGAGTGGTTTGGAGGTGAATTCCAAAGGAAGAGCTGTGATTGAGAATTAAGTAGTCTTCAGAGCGAGGTAAGTGTTGTGTCTAACCCTGACTTGAGGGAATAAGGAACCTTAGATTATTTGCTAAGTGAAATTCATGTGAGCGGCGTATATCTGAGGTGACGAGTACTTATGCACCGCCAATTTACCTGTTTTTCATGTTTCTCTATTTTTGTTATATTGTCTCATTCCTATGCCTAATTGCTACGTGTTATACTAGTGTTGTTCAATTTATCGTTCTTATCATGTTTACGGTTTTCTGGTGATAATTGAGTTTTTATTTCAAAGTTGAGATTGATATTATGGAACCAAATATTGAAGTAAGGTTTGTACTTGTTATTCTATCTCTCTGTTATTATTTGTGCATTGTATTATGGTAAGGGAGAGTGATGATACACGAAGGGTGATATCGTGCCATATTGTGAGTGTTAATGCACGAAGGGTGATGCAGTGTCCTATTATGAGTGTTAATGCACGAAGGGTGATGTCCTGCTATATTGTGAGTGTTAATGCATAAAGGGTAATGCAGTGCCATATTGTGAGTGTTAATGCATGAAGGGTGATGTCGTGCCATGATATGAGAGTTAATGCACGAAGGGTGATGCCGTGCCGTTTCTATTAATTTTATGGTGAGATTGAGAGTAAAATCACGAAGGGTGATATCGTGCATTTTTCCTTACTGTATTCACTATTCCTGTTGATTCATGGTATATGGACTGCTCATTCTGTTGTAGTTCTTTATCTTGTATTTCCCTCAGTATGTTCCTCTCCCGACATTTTCTATTTAGTTCTTCATTTTTGTTATTTGTATATACACTGTGAAATTGTACAGGTTGATTTGTAGGTGTCTTGCCTTAGCCTCGTCACTACTTCATCGGGGTTTGGCTCGATACTTACCAGTACATGGGGTCGGTTGTACTGATACTGCACTCTGCACTTTCCGTGCAGATTTTGATACCGGCTCGGATTGATTGAAATTTTACTATTAGTCCAATATCCGGAGACTCAAGGTAGATCTGTCGGCGTTCACAGACCTTGAAGTCCCCATCTATCTTTTCTGTTCTACAGCTTTTTTCATTCAGACAGTTGTATTTCTTTCAGATTATTACTTGTAGTAAATTCTAGAATACTCGTGAATTATGACTCCAGATCCGGGTGGTAGTAATTAATACAGTTTTATGATATTTCGCACTATTTATATTTCATCTTAGTTAATTATTGTTAATTACTGAATGGGAATAAGAAATTGGTTTAATGATTCTCTAACGTTGGCTTGCCTATCAAGTGAAATATTAAACGCCATCACGGTCCCGTCGGTGGAAAATTTCGGGTCATGACAGAGAGAGACAGCGCTCTTATATATACTATATATTATATATAAGAATAATAATAATATACAGTATATATATATGTGTGTGTGTGTGTGTGTTTTGAATGCCCTTATCATAAGCGAAGCTTCTAGTACGGTGGCAAAGGTAGTTCAGAAAAAGATTTAGGTCACAAGTTCAAACATGGGGTATGGTGTTCTTGCATTCTTTTGAATTTCTGGCTCCGCCACTAATCCAACAGTAAAGTTGTCTCCGTGTGACCTATAGGTCACAGATTCGAGTCATGCAATCAGCTTGTTAGTATTGTTACCCGGATAAAAGGATATAACTAGTCATAATTTAGTATTGCTCTTGTTGTAATTTTTAGTATGCATGTGACAACCTTATTAGATGATTGTATAATTCTTACTTTTTTTCCGCTCGTTCTGATTAATTTACTAGAACTAAACTTATCATGTTGGTTACTTTGTTTGGATCTAGGTTTGAAGCTCCTTACTGTGGATCGCACTTTTGCTGAAATGCACTATGCAGACTTGTCTGCAAAGCCTTTCTTCAATGGGCTTGTCAAATACATTGTTTCTGGCCCCGTTGTTGCAATGGTGTGGGCGGGTAAGGGTGTAGTTACTACCGGTAGGAAGATAATTGGTGCAACAAACCCATTGGAGTCTGCTGCTGGCACCATCCGTGGTGATTATGCTATTGATATTGGGAGGTAAAATATTTAATTTCCCGGTTTAGTGTTTTCTATAGCATGCATTTGTCTCAAGCCAATGTGCCAATAGTTAGGATCATTATGTCTTCCAGCACGTACCTATAGTCGGATCTAGGATTTGGTGGTTTCGGATGTCAAGCTGGTCGATTTGATCGACTTTGTGCTTTAACTCGAATTGTTCTCCTTTCGATTTATATAAACAAATAGAGGTAGGAAATAAACAAGGGGGAGCCTTATTATACTTAAACAAACAAAAACCGTCAACAATAAATTAAAAGTGTGTCAACTTAATATTTTGCTTCAGTGGGTATTCATCTATGTGTTTGTCGTCTCTTTACTTTCAGCAAGCTAAAAAACTTGAATAAAGCTGATGGCAGGAGTCGAACTCATGCCAGGGGAAGGAAAACTTGACCTCTTGCCACCGGCACCTTGACGGAAGGAAATTGCTCTTTAGTTTCCTGATGGTGTCGCGGAGTGGCAGAGCAGCCTTCACTCTTAAAAATCTATGAGTAAGAGATTTTACGAGTTGACTATCAATAGCCTATCGATATGCACACAAAGTGCATCTCATAGTGTCACCTATGTGCATCAACAATTCGTCTATCTCTATCTTTCCAAACTGCAACTTAAGAAATTTTGCCTGATGTTTGAGTAGAAATATTGTTGTTTCACACTTGTTTCCATTTGTTATTTCAAGACGACTAAGATATGATATTAGCGGAATTACTGTAGTGAAATGTAAAGGTAGAAATGACACCATGTAGAAATGAAAATTTTATGAACAAACGATGATTTCGAAAAGAAGTAAAAAATTTTTGAAAAAAAGGGAAATTTTTTTTATGTCCAAACGGGTTCTAAGAATTAGCTTGCGCATTCAAGATTTCAGTTTTTCAATTCAATTTTTCAGGACAAAAATATCTTGAATTGTCGTGAAGTTAAGATTTTTAGTTTAAAATTTCAGGACAAAAATAAGTACGGGCTAATTCCTAAATAGCATCCCTGAGAATCGCTATATGTGCTCTTGTCCCTCAATAAAATTATTTGGGTTGAGATGGATTGGGTCAAGATGAGCCAAAATTTGGGTCATAACCTAACTCGTCCAACTCTTATCGAGTTTTAATTAATGTGTGTTATTTTTTTTATCAATTGTTTAATTATCAAAAAAGATTTTTTTCTTTTGTTATGGTCATGTATAACCTATCAAACAAAAAAGAATTATTTTACAGAAATTTTAGCATAGTTACTCATTAAATCAATTTGGGCTAAAAATGAACCCAATTTTAAATGGGCTGAGATGTGTTAGGTCAAGATGAGCTGAGATGAACAAATGAGCGGGTGAATGAAGGTGTTTGCAACAAATTTTCGTCGTTATGAAAAAAAAACTGCAATCACAAAATAAGAGAAAAATATTTTTATTAATCAATTGTGAGTACAATTCTGTTTCTCCCTTGATTCTTCTCTCCTGATTATCTCTGTGATTCGAGGGCTGAAGTAACGTATTTCTCGAATGCAAGATAATGCAGACCTCCTGGGATGTATTTGATCTCCATCTTCTTGAACTATTTGGTTGCCAAGAAGTATCCGGCCATATTTTTGTTCTCTTTGTGAATATCCCAAGAGTTTATGGGATTTTCGAGACGCCTCTTCAAGGGAATATGTATCCCTTTATATAGGTGTGCGTTATGGTTTACAGTAGAATAACCTCCAAGAAACCCTGATAGACTCCTAGGGTTTCAAGAGTCTTGTAGTATCTTGAATTTAGGATTTAGCTTGATCCGTTAAAATTTTGATGTCTACAAATGCCCCCTACTTCAAGGTTTGTTGGGGTGTAGGCTTGCCGAAACTTGAAGACAAGACTTGAAGTATTCGACCATCACAACAAATGATTTTGAAACTTTGAATTTTCGATTTATAGGAAGAAGAGATGAAGGGCAGAACTGGTCCTACCGGGCGTGTCAATTTGTTTGCAATAAATTTTCGTCATTATGAAAAATAAACTGCAATCACAAAATAAGAGAAAAATATTTTTATTAATCAACTGTGAGTACAATTCTGTTTCTCCCTTGATTCTTCTCTCCTGATTATCTCCGTGATTCGAGGGCTGAAGCAGCGTATTTCTCGAATGCAAGATGATGCAGACCTCCTGGGATGTATTTGATCTCCATCTTCTTGAACTATTTGGTTGCCAAGAAGTATCCGGCCATATTTTTGTTCTCTTTGTGAATATCCCAAGAGTTTATGGGATTTTCGAGACGCCTCTTCAAGGGAATATGTATCCCTTTATATAGGTGTGCGTTATGGTTTACGGTAGAATAACCTCCAAGAAACCCTGATAGACTCCTAGGGTTTCCAGCGTCTTGTAGTATCTTGAATTTAGGATTTAGCTTGATCCGTTAAAATTTCGATATCTACAAATGCCCCCTACTTCAAGGTTTGTCGGGGTGTAGGCATACCCACTGGGCGTGCCAATTTGTTTGCAACAAATTATTTGTGATACAAAAATAAATTGTAACCACAATATAAATATGAAGAAACATAATTTTATTGATAAAATGATGCGGGTACAATTCTGTTTATTCCCTTGATTCTTCCTCCGGATTGTTCTCCATAATTCGAGGACCTTAGCGGCGTATTTCTCGAACATAGGATGATGCGGACCTCTCTAGATTATTTGATCTCCGTGAAAGTCGATCATTGTATGGATATTTTCTTTGAAGTATTTGATTATCAAGAAGAACATCTATTGATCACGATATTATTTTATGCCTTGATCCCTTTGTGAATATCTCAAGAATTTATGGGATTTTTGAGACCCTCTTGGAAGGCCATATGTCGTCTTATTTATAGGCATGAATTAGGATTTGGGTGGAGTAGCCACCAAGTAACCCTAATAGACTCCTAATATTTTCAAGAATCGTCTTGAATTTAAGATTTATCTTGATCTGCTAAAATTTCAGTATCTACAGAAGGCTCAACCTTGGATGGATTGGGTGGGTTAAATGAGTTTGAACTCAAAGTGCCACCCGTGGAGGACGTTATATACTACCCCAGGCTAATTTTATGTCAGCGTTTGATTGGATATCTACGGGTAAACATCAATGAAAGTAAAATTAGTTAAAACCTAAAAATTAAAAAAAAGATATACTTTATAACAAGTTAAAATTTAGTGTAAAAATGTTTATGTTCTTAAATCCAAAACAACATGCCTTTTGTCAGCTAGTATATGGCATTATATGGATAAGGGAATAAACCTTTCTTTTGGAGCAATAAATAAAATATTTTGCACGTTGATCAGTTTGCATTTGCTTTAAATCACCATATTCAAATTCTAGATTTGACATTTTAAGATTTCTTTAAATCCCCTTGTATATATTTCTAATTTTTTCATTGTCGAGTGTCAATCACTATCTCTAATTTTAAGGTTGGACAATCTCTATATAAGGGTGGATTAGTGCTACGGGTTCGTCACAAGTAATTTTGGCTCATATACTTTATTTAAATAATTTCACTAAATAATTATAATTGGGACCCATAAAATTCAAATGCAAATACATTTGTCTCTATATCTACAAAGATATGATTCACATGCACCTAACTCCCAACGTGGGCTCTCGTCAGCAATCAAAATAGCCTAATTAAGTTGGCATCCATTATATTCGAAAATAATAAATTGTTGTTTAACTTGTATAATTAATTTGTAAATTACGAGGATAACGGAGAATACTCCCAAATAATATCTAATTTCAATATTTGTTTTTACCAAGAGCCAGACTAAATTTACCAATGACAAGGGGCAAGGGGAATCTCTCAATATCTGCATATGATTTAACATTTGCACTTTGGAGAATGTGGAAAGTGGAAACCATGATGTTGTTTTTGACAAAATCTTTAGACTTAGATCTAAAATAGGGAAACGTGATTAATAATCCTAACCTAACATATTTAAAATTAATTACCTTTTCCACTTTGTACACGCCTGTGTTAACTTTACATATTATAATGTCCACTTGTTGTCACCTTTTTTGTTTTTCTTTCTATCCACTTCTTGTAAAATACTTTCTGAAATAGTAACACTAGTCCAATACTCCAATTTGATTTAGTACGGTGGCAAAGGTAGTTCAAATATTGATTTAAGCTTCTAGTACGGTGGCAAAGGTAGTTCAAATATTGATTTAGGTCACAGGTTCAATCCTCGGTATGGCGTTCTTGCATTCTTTTGAATCCCTTGGAAGAATTCCGGAGCCATTGATCCAACAGTGGGTAGACTGCCTATATGACACTCTCTCGGGTGCTGCCCTTTCTCGGACCCTGCGTGAACGAAGATGCTTCGTGCACTGGGCTGTCTTTACTTGAGGGAAGTGTTGTTCCTTGGATAAAAGGATATAAGTCATAATTTAGTATTGTTCCCCCGGATAAAAGGATATAACCAGTCATAATTTAGTATTGCTCTTGTTGTAATTTTTAGTATGTATGTGACAACCTTAGTAGATGATTATATAACTCTTACTTTTTTTCCGCTCGTTCTGATTAATTTGCTAGAACTAAACTTGTCATTTTGGTTACTTTCTGAAAAGCACTATGCAGACTTGTCTGCAAAGCCTTTCTTCAATGGGCTTGTCGAATACATTGTTTCTGGTCCCGTTGTTGCAATGGTGTGAGCGGGTAAGGGTGTAGTTACTACCGGTAGGAAGATAATTGGTGCAACAAATCCATTGGAGTCTGCTGCTGGCACCATCCGTGGTGATTATGCTATTGATATTGGGAGGTAAAACATTTAATTTCCCAGTTTAGTGATTTGTGTAGCATGCATTTGTCTCAAGCCAATGTGCCAATAGTTAGGATCATTATGTCTTCCCGCACGTGCCTAGAGGCGGATCTAGAATTTGGTGGTTCCGAATGTCAAGCTTGCCGATTTGATAGACTTTGTGCTTTGACTCTGAATTGTTCTCCTTTCGATTTATATAAACAAATAGAGGAAGGAAATAAACAAGGGGGAGCCTTATTATACTTGAACAAACAAAAAACGTCAACAATAAATTAAAAAAGAAGTGTGTTAACTTAATATTTTGCTTCAGTGGGTATTCATCTATGTGTTTGTCGTCTCTTTACTTTCAGCAAGTTAAAAAACTTGAATAAAGCTGGTGGCAGGAGTTGAACTCATGCCAGGGGAAGGAAAACTTGACCACTTGCCACCGGCACCTTGGCCACTTTTGTTATTGCGAGTGACACTTTTAATATTTGTACTATTTCTTATATATATATAATTCTGCCGAAGCTCACCCTACATCACAACATAGATCCGCCCCTATGCACACCTAACACCAAGTTAAAACTTGTGTAACTTCTTTGCTCAATCAATTCCACTGGGTTTGTTGTTGTTGGAAAGTTGATCATATTGAATCCCGCTCTTA